GACCTCATGTTGCTATTCCTGGGAGTATGTCCTGGTTTCTTAATTTCATTATCAGTTTATCATGTTGGTAGAGAGAAGAATTATAAAATTATTTATATCAGGGGAATGTAAGTTCCCAAATGTGTTGTGCATTAATTGGTGTCCAGACACATATGTGTTAAAAAAATTTGGTTGCTCCCTGTTTAATGCACACTGTGTATGTTTCTGTCATTAGGTATGCCTCACTTTGTAATATCATTTAAGTGTTACTTCTCCAGCTAGAATTTGTCTTTGTTGCCTCGTGCAGTAAATGGGCATGATTCATTCCATTATATACTTGTTGAACAAATGAATGAAGATTTTTAAAAACCAACTAGATATTTCAAAGCCTGCAGTTTGCTCATGTGCATTGTGAATTTTAAGGAGGGGCATGGAGGAAGGATAGTAGTATAATGATAGGAGCATAATAGTATAATCTACAAAAGAAGGTTGGACAGTCCAGTGGCCTCCCAACAATGTAGGATGTAAACCTAACAGTGTTAGAGATAGTATTTAGAAGGCCAACTTACCGTTTCACAAATTATCCCTTAGTTATAACTATTTGATCAGGTAATACTCTCTTTTCAAGGAACCATGACTCTCTCATAGAAATATTACTCTCTAAGGTGGAGGCTCAAAATGTAGAAGGCACCTGGCTAGATGGTGATGATGGTGGTGATGATGATGATGATGATGATGATGATGATGATGATGGTGATGATAACAGTGATGGTGATGATAATGGTGGTGATGATGATGATGATGATGATGATGATGATGATGTTACTATTTCCTGGATCATAAGTCGTCTTAAGGCAGGGTCTATTCTTCAACTCTCTTTGCACTAAATTTTGGAAAGGATGTTAAAAGCCACATGGGTCAGCAGTGCACCCTTTGCTTGACTCTCTACAGTATGTCCAGCCCATGTGTGAATACATCAATTTGGCTGGAAGCTACCTCCTGTGGCAGCTTTTCCAGCGTTGTGCTGTTCTCTCTGCTTAGTGGAGCCTTGTGTTGAAGCATGCTCTGTCCATGGTTCTGTCCACCTGCGTTCTTGTTCTATCTCTTAGGGTCATCAATATGACTGAAAATCCAGTAAAGTGACTTGGACAGAGCAAACATTCAGTAAATGTATACAGAATTGAACTGAATTGCAAGAATTTGACTCATTAAGTTTTCGAACTGGGGTTTGAAACGAAAATATACTCTGGACTAAGTTGGAACATATTTTCCAGCAGACTTTCACTTTTTGTGCTGTGAGTATAAGCACCTGTGAATGGAAATCACATCCATGTCGCTCTGCACGTTTAGTATATAAATGTGGCTCTTTGAGGCGCTCCTTTCTTGAAGGTGGGTCATGAGAAATTTAAAAAGGCAGTTGGCAATTAGCTATACAGCATTGCACGATAGGTTTTGGTGTTTTACTTCTTTTCCCCTCACAATACTGCTCTAGCAAATGGGCTCTACCCTTTGTATCTCTTAGTCAGGAATCCTATATTTCTGTGTGACCCAAATCATTCAGGTTCCTAAAAGATGGCACATTACGTAGGTTCCTCATTTTTGCTTTACAGCCCTATGTTGTGTTTTCTCTGACCGCGTGGTAGCTTCCAAGGGAAACATCTGAGAAAGGAAATTGGACAGGCCATTGTCCCCCCAGCAGCCTGGGACCTAACAGCGTTAGAGACAGTGTTTGCCTTTCACAAGGTATCCCTTAGTTATCTTTCAAACCAAATTATCCAATAACTTGTGGCTGCAAATAGAGTCACATTAACAGAAGTAACCGCAATCCAGTCTCTTTTCTCCATCTCCTCCCACAGGAGTTTAGTGTTCTCAAAGTTGCCATCCTTTACGTGTTCTTGGGAGGAATCTGGGGCGCTGCACGTGTACTTATGGGTTTGATTTGCCGTGTTTGTAGCTGCTCCTGCTGGGGTGGGCGTCCTTCTGTGGAATACCGTTTGGAGAAAGGTACTCCAGTGACTTCCGTATTTGATGTTTGCTCCAGCTGGGACTCAGTTCTGCTCTCGTCATTGAAGCTACTTCCTGACTCTACCAGGATCTTGTTTTGAGGAGATGTCACAGTGTACCCAATGTATTTGTTCTTTTCTCTGATACCCAAGGTATCTTCCCTGAGATACATTCAATATATTTGGCTCTTTCATCCCCAAAGGTAAATTCTTTGTGCTTTTGTGCACATGGACTTCTTTGTGGCCATCCCTCCAAGCTCGCAGCTTAAGCCCAGGGGACTTCTGCAGTGGCTTTGACTTCACTGCAGCCCCCTCTCAGAGGGGCAGGGTTAAAGTCCTTAGATCCAGCTGAGTGCATTAATAATCCCGTATGATTCCTATTATGATCTTAAGACCCTGGAAGCAAATGAGTTTTCTTCACGTTCCCCAGGGTGCTTGTAGTTTGATTTTTCAGGCTGTAATTGAATGTGATACTTTCCTTACAGACCAGTGCAAACATACAGAGGCAGCATGGTATCATGACAAGAGTATTGTACTAGAGTCAGAAAATCTTAGAGTTGTTTTTAGATCTCCCTTGAAGTAGCCTTGAAACCATTTATTCATTCATTCTGTAGCATTTATTGACCCCATAATGTCTGAGACACCCTATAAGGTATTATGGATACAAAAATGACTATACATTAAGTGGTTCTTTTTTTAAATTATAGTTGATTTACAATATTTTGTTAGTTTCAGGTATATAGCAGAGTGATGCAGTTTTATATGTGTGTGTGTGTATATATATATGTATATATATATACGTATATTCAGATTATTTTCCATTGTAGGTAATTATAAGATATTGAACATATTTCCCTGTGCTATACAATAAACCCTTGTTGCTTATCTACTTTATGTATAGTAATTCACGTTTACATATTGTCTGTGGTTGCCTTCACGCTACCAACAAGAGTTAAGTGGTTGCAACAGAGATCCTATGGCCCCAAAGTCTATAATATTTACTGTCTGGCTCTTTACTGAAAAATTTTGCTGACCCCTTCATTAAATTCATCACAGAGAAGGTTTAAAAATAAAATTATTGCTTGTGTTCCACCACAGATAATTAAATCAGAATTTGGAGTGTGTAGTGGGGTTTTCAGAGTTGTCACAAAAACTGACTTTTTTGTTATTTTATTTTTTAATTTTATTATATTATTTTAATTTTATCTTTTGTTGAAATGTAGCTGATTTTAAAAAAACACAATGTTTTAAAAAAGCATCTCAGATAAATATAATGTGTAGCAAGAGTTAAGAAACACAAATAAATACCCCTACCCTTGAAGAGTGCATTTGGCTTATTGGAGAGAAGAATCATACAAAAATTTATAAAGGTATAGTGGCTATATCTATAATGGAAACATTTACAAAGTTCCAAGGGAGCACTGCATTGGAAACATTTTACTTCATTAGGGAAGTTTTCACAGAGAGACATTTAAATGGATTCTTGAAGAATGAATCAATAGGTAGACAGGATCTACTGGGAGTAGTGATAGGGAGAGAAATAGTGGAGGGAACAGCATATGCAAACACACATAGGTATGGAAGAGCGTGGCCCATTCGAGGAATGGTCAGAAGCTGAGAGGAAGGAAGAGAGTGAGGTCCTAGAATATAAAGCCAGAAAAGTAAGCATCAGTTGGGAAAGGCTTTGCATGCTCAGAAGTTTGTAGTTTACTGTGTTGACTCAGATTTAGAAGTTTAATGGACAATTGAGTTTCTCTAAACCTCAGTTTTTTCATCTGTAAAATAAGCAGTTGGCTCAGATGATTGCCAAAAGCCCTCTAGCTTTAAAATACTGCTTCCTGAAAGATTGTGTCAATTTGTCCCTTTGACGCTGAGAACACAGTTGCGTTTATATGAATGGTGTGAGTTTCGTAGTGTTGGGTCTATCTCCTGTAATTGATGTATTTCTTTTACTTTTTTTTTAAAAGCTATTGCTTTAATTTTATTCTTTTGTGGGGAAGGGTAATTAAGTTTATTTGTTTATTTAATGGATGGAACCCAGGACCTCATGCACACTAGGCACATGCTCTCCCACTGAGCTATACCCTCCCCTGATCCATTTAATAGCACACACAAGGTCCACGCTGCTTTGTGGGTTCACCACAAGGATTTGAGAAAGCAGACTTCTGGAGGAGAAGTACCTTGCCTGGTCAATGCATTAAGGCCCTTAATAAAAAGTATTACATGATGATAAAATACCTGTAAAATACTTTATGATCCATGCAGAGAGGTGCTATAAAATGGGGACAGTTTTATTGTTAAAATTCACATTTTTCCCAATTAGTACTAGTGCTTATTATGGGTTAGCATTTGAAATTCTCTACACTCCAAGCTTAGGATGTGAATTACTATGGAAGTTCTCCTGCATGGTATCTTATCTTGCCATTTTATAGCTTCTCGTTTATACCAGGCTCAGCACTGTAATTGAGATCCTCTCTGTTCAGACACTTACTGGGATAGCTGTATCTCTACTCGTACGTCTAATAAACTACATGTTATTGGTTTCATAACTTTAAGTGAAGTTTTTCAAGTTCTGGTGTATATTGAATATTGTATTTACCTCTTGCAGGGTCTCCCCAAGTGTGCAGAATAGCCAGTGAATCAAAAAATAGTATGTGGTAGGCTCAGTGATGGAAGCTTCCCAGGCGCTAAGGCAACCCAATCTCTACTTTATGATTCATTTTATCAAGCATACTCTCTAAGGTAGATGAGTGGACTGAATATTTCCAAATATATCTTAGAATGATGCAAGTTGAACTATAAAGACAACTTTGAAACTCCTGTAAGAGCTGCTAGGAAAAATTGTCACGGTTTCTGTCATTTGAGCATCAAACGTTTCTATTAAAGGAGAGGTTTTGAATACTTTTTAAAAATGCTTTTCAATTAGTAACTATTGCCCTCTCCCCACCAAAGAAAATGACAGAGACACTCCGGAATATGGGCCAGCGTTGACCTCTTTGCCCTACTGTTTCTTCACAGACATCGATGAGTGTGCCGAAGGGCGCCATTACTGCCGTGAGAACACGATGTGTGTCAACACCCCAGGCTCTTTCATGTGCATCTGCAAAACTGGGTACATCCGAATTGATGATTATTCGTGTACAGGTAAACAGTGGCTATTTATGAAATAAAATCTTTCTGTGCCTTAACTTTACTTCTAAAATTTTCTTTCACCTTCAATTTTTTGGAGAAGTATGCTGTAAGTACCTCCTTTTAACAAAACAAGTCATAAGCAAAAGCCTGTCTTCTTGATTGGGTGGTTAATTCTGACTCTGTTCTAAGAAAAGGAATACCTCCTTGCTCTGGATAAGTTTTATACTCCCTGTTAGAAAAGTAGAGAAAAGTGAAAGAACAAAATCAATATGATACTAATTTTATAATTAAATAGTATTTACATTCAAAACGTGTGTGAATTCTATGGCAAATCTGCGAAACAACCCCTAAATAGTATTTCCATTGTATGACAGTGGACTTTTGAATACAGGAATAATGACATAAATAATGTGATGTTTTCAGAAATAGTCTTGGAGTGCTAGGAAATGGAAACATTAAAGAGAATAGAGCTTCTTTATACCTCTGAGAAGTGCAGTTGAGTAACTACATCAAAGAGGTTTTGCCATGTTTGTTATATGAAATATCCAGGGTCCTGCTCAGGGATATCTTGAGTGTTAGTAGTGTCCTTTTTTTTTTTAACATTTTTTTTATTGAGTTATAATCATTTTACAATATTGTGTCAAATTCCAGTGTAGAGCACAATTTTTCAGTTATACATGAACATTCATTGTCACATTTTTTTCGCTGTGAGCTACCACAAGATCTTGTATATATTTTCCTGTGCTATACAGTATAATCTTGTTTATCTGTTCTACATTTTGAAATCCCAGTCTGTCCCTTCCCACCCCCCACCCCCTTGACAACCACAAGTTTGTATTCTATGTCTATGAGTCTGTTTCTATTTTGTATTTATG